CACGTACCTAAGTACATGTAATGTAGGATTCAATAGGTGTGTACTTCTTTTAATTTGAGTATTGGCTGGTCGCCGTGGCCTTGGGTTTGGCAATTCGATAAATACAGTGATTAGACTCATGTCCACACACTTGACATGCACGTACCCAAATACTTGTAATGTAGGATTCAATACGGCTAAACTTTCCACAATATTTTCGATCTCATTGACACCATGTGGTAGCAAATGTGGTTGCTGAGCAGTGAGCATGATACTTCCTCTGCAACTGGAATTCTGTTCCCGGTAAAGTAATGATTGCTCTTCTCCCATGGTCCAAAAACCAGTCTTTGTGATGGTTCTGAAAAAAAATTGTGACAGTAAATGTTTAAAATTATCCAATCTAAGTTGTTACTTGTTTGCCTCTTTTGACTAATTTATGTTTTTTAATTGATGCATGCATTATTTTTTAGCAGTAATTGGTGCTGAATGTTAAGCTGGCTCAAGAATTCTTCCAATCAGTAGGTAGTGTTGTTGTAGAAGATGGATATAATCGAATCTATCCTCGATATTCCTGTTCAAGATCCACAAGATGAAGAGTTCTCTTCTGCTGACTTGAATTGGACGAAATTTGGAACTGCCGAACGTCATGATGATGTAGCCCTTATTCCTTATGCACGGGTTGATGATTTCATAATAGGATAATGCTCTAACGTAGAATGTCCGACGAGATTCCATATTGAGAGGGGCAGAAAACGATCAAAAGGCACCTTGAAGGACTACAAGAGTGATGAGTATTTGGAATATAGGCTTTCAGTTTGTCGGCTTGCATATTACTTCATATTCACCTTGCTGCTTCAGGGTGACAAGGTTATTCTGTCATATCATTAAACCTGAACAATGTATTTCTGAAAAACACTAGATAATTAACACAATGAAGTTATTCAGATTATGTGATCCAAGGAGTTCATCATCAAACTCTGATGAAATTCCTTGAAACTTTGTTTCACTTTCATAACAATCATCATTTAGATTTGGCATTCAAACACCAAGTTTGGAACCTTTTACTGTGGAGGAATAAAAAATGTGGTCTACAAGCTAAACTGCCTTTTTCAGTTGACAAATCAGTCATTTGAGCTGTAAAATTCTCAATGCTTAGGTTTTCATATGTGTCAAAGTAGAGTTTGCATATTCTGTTTCAAACTAATAATTATGTTCTCTTGTGTTCGTTTTCTTTCATTTTTATCTTTGCGAAGATATTGGTGTTCATTTGGTCCAGAAAACTATGGGGAAGGTGGGGGTATTTTGCCAAGCCGAAGATATCGACTTAACACTCGAAACCGCGCTGCTAGACCTCAGTCTATGCGTGGCTGCACATGCCATTTTGTAGTGAAGCGTCTGTATTCCCGTCCATCTCTTGCACTTATTGTCTACAATGATAAGCGCCATGTAAACAAGTCTGGTTTTGTTTGTCACGGGCCACTTGACAGAGATGCAATTGGCCCTGGTGCCAAGAAAATTCCATATATATGTAATGAGATTCAACAGCAAACTATGTCTATGATCTATCTTGGCATTCCCGAGGAGAATGTGTTAGAGAAGCACATTGAAGGGATTCAAAACTACTGTGGCTCAAATGCGAAAGTAAATAGCCTTGCTTCCCAGTATGTCCACAAACTCAGGATGATTATTAAACGTTCTACGCATGAGTTGGATTAGATGACCAAGCTAGCATATGAATGTGGGTGGAACACAATAAGAAATCTATATTCTTTTACCAAGATACTTCAGAGACAGATTCTTTCATTCTGGGGATTCAAACAGAGTGGCAGTTGCAACAAATGATTCGTTTTGGCCATTGCAGTCTCATGGCCGTTGATTCAACATTTGGCATAAAAAGACTCAAGGTAATGAATTCATTGATGTTTGTTTGTGCATGCTTTAGAAAATCTACCAGACATTCTCACGTCGTCTTTTCTGAATGGCAGTATCCCTTATGTACACTTCTTGTGTTTGATTCAAGACAACATGCGCTCCCTGTTGCCTGGGTCATTACTCGTAGCATTGCTAAGGCAGATGTGTCTAAGTGGATGAAAACTCTACTTGATCGTGTTCGTGCTGCTGAACCTGGATGGAAGGCCAATGGGTTTTTGATTGATAATGCTGCTGCAGAGATTGATCCGATAAGGCAGGATGCTCTTCCTTTATTTTTTTCCTGTTTAAATATACATTATTTTCGGATCAGTTATATGAAGTGACTGTCTTTCAGGGATGCATTTTTTTGTCCTGTCCTATTCTCCCTCTGGCGTGTTCGTAGATCATGGCTAAGGAATATTGTCAAGAAATGTAGTAATATTGAAGTTCAACGGGAGATTTTTAAATGACTGGGAGAAATAGTGTACAGCATTTGGGGTGGAATGGATTCTTTGGCTGCCTTGTAAGAATTAACCCAAGATTTTGTTGATCAAACTGCCTTTGTACAGTACTTCAAGGCCACTTGGGTGCCTAAGATTGGTTAGATGACTCTCTGTGTGTGTGTGTGTGTGGGGGGGGGGGGGGGGGGGGGGGGGGAGGGGACTTCTTTAAAATTTCAATTTCTGAAATTAGTATTATTTGTTTTTGTTGTATAGAGATGTGGCTTACAACAATGAAAACTCTCCCACTTGCAAGCCAGGAGGCATCTGGTGCCATAGAAGCGTATCATGTGAAGCTGAAAGTCAAACTATTTGATGATTCACATCTTGGTGCACTCCAGAGAGTTGATTGGTTAGTGCACAAACTGACAACAGAGTTGCATTCAAGCTACTGGCTTGACCGATATGCAGATGAAAGCGATTCCTTCCAAAATGTTAAGGAAGAATATATTGCTTCCACATCATGGCAGCGGGCACTGCAAATTCCGGATACAGTTGTTACCTTGGATTAGAGGGACCACCTCTTTGCCAAGGTTGTGAGCCAAAAAGACAGCGGCCTAATGCATCTTGTGTGGAATCCTGGATCAGAATTTGCTTTTTGTGATTGTGCATGGTCAATGCAGGGAAACTTTTGCAAGCATGTCATAAAGGTCAATATGATCTGTGAAAATCGTCAAGGATATCAGTCTTCAATGTCTTTCTGTTCTTTTAAAGATATTTTAATGAATCTCTGGAAAAAAACCAAAGGATGATTCAGTTGCATTGGATCTGTCACTGGCATGGACACACCAGATGCTTGATCAAATTCAGACACTCGTAGAACTGAACAGTTCAAATGATATTGGCAGTGTAGTAAATAATCTGCCACTGAAATGGGTTGCTAAGAAAGGGAGAACATCTGTTGGCAGGACGCCATCCACTCTTGCTCTGCCCTCCAGCTCCATGGGTAATTCTAAGAATTCTGCTGCACGAAAAAAGAACCAGGAAGAGATTGTCTCGGTTGGGATGGTAGGTAGAGGGTTGTTCTTGCACATATTTGACCCATGCAAGCTTGATTTCATCTCAGAAATTACTTTTCAAATATGACTTTAATCTAGTGGCAGATCGTTCTGATTCCAGAGCTGGAATTTGTCCTTTCTTCATAATTCTTTGATAAACAGGTATAGGCAGTGCTAGCATCAAAACTGTATAGTGGAACTGTATGAGTTTATCTGGTAAGTGGAGTCTGAAAAAATGCTATTGAAGGAATTAAAGATGTATCTACAAGTTTGTGATTCTAGCAGATTGGTGGCAAATTCAAAGTTCATATTTTGTCAGAGAAATTAGCTATTGAGACCTGGGAGTCCATTGACATTGTGCGTCGTCTCCTTTTCTCTTTCCCCCGGTCGCTTGAGGTCTATTATTTTCTTGTTCTTTAACTTGTAGACATATACATTTTTGTTAGAAAGCGTGTAGAGAAAGAGATTGGAGAAAACTGCTGATGATCTTTGTTATGTTTCATATATTTAAAATTTCAAAACATGTGCAGACTAGCGGTTAAATTGGGTATTGGAATTATGTTCAAATATTGTGAAGCATGCAGATTGCCAGAGTTGAGCGTTTGAGTTGGACAAGTATTTGATGATTATTTTCTTGCTTAAAAGTATCTGATTGAAATGCTGCTGAAACTGGAGATTGAATTTGTGTGTGGTAGTTTTTGGTTACATTTTTTTTATTTATAATATGGGTTAGTAGAGCCCAAAAGGACAGAAGGGACATGCTGGGAAAAGAATTACCCAAAGTAGTAGACGCTGTTTGATTGCTGAGAAAGTTTGCTGTTATGTAGATGGAAATTGGGAACCTTTTTAACACAGGTTTGGGACCTGAGTTGATGTCAGGTCTTGGGAGGGATGATTGAACTCGCAACCTCATGTAATGACCCGGGGTCAACTAAGGGCAAAGTCATCATTTCACATCATTCAATGCATTAGGAGTCACACTAGTGTCATACTGGTCAATTATAAAGACATTTAGATTAATTGAAACACGATACAACAATTCCAATTCAAAATAGGAAACCTGAGGTCATAAGGGTAAGATAGTCATTTGAAATCATAGTGTCGGTTTGTTATATGTTATGCTAGTTCCATTGGTCAAGTGAAAATGAAATGGGGGACCGAATTCTGAAGTGGCCAAGGTGCACCCGCTCACAGCACTTGTGAGTGCTAGAGCAGTGTCAGACCCAGGTTCAGAACATTACACCTGAGTTATTTTTAACTTGGAAGTTCATAAAGAAATATTTATAAATTGTTCCTTCCTCTATGTCATTACAGTTCCTAATAATGACAATATCTCCATTCTTAATTGAGTGGTAAATTTTCATTAGGGAATCTGGCTGGGGACTTGGGAGTCACTGGCCACACAAAAATTGGGTCCTTCTGTAGTCTAGCAAGCGAAAATAAGAGATAAAAAACACATTTTAATTTCAAAGTGGGCTCCAAAATATCACACGCACCACACAAATTTCTAGCTATAAGACTTATGGAAGGAAAATTTGCCAATGGGAGTGAGGCAATCTCACCTTATCCACACTCCCACCACAATTTTAGTTAAACTCATCATCATCCCACCCTTCCACATCTCTCCCCATCAAACTATCCATAAACCAAAAACACCAACACAGCCTCTTCATTTTTCATTTTGTAAAGGGTCAAGTGAGCTCACAATTTTCTTTTTGTAGCAACTAACAATGGCAACCATGAACTCCAGTGTGCTAGCATGCAACTATGCCATCTCTTCTGGTGCTGGATCACCAGAGCTCAACTCAAAGACTGTTTCTTCACAATCACTTGTATCCTCAGTTAAATTACCTGTGATCAGGGCCAAACATGCCAGAGTTTCTGATTCGAAAGAGCCAATCCGTGCCGGGAATGACGGAAGAAGAGCTGCACTTCTTGGCCTTGCAGCTGCACTTTTCACCACTGCTGCCTCCACCTCCTCTGCCAATGCAGGCGTCATCGAAGATTATCTCGAAAAGAGCAAAGCTAACAAGGTTTGTTAGCTATTGAATCTTCATCACTTAATAATATAACTGTTTCTACTTTTGATGACTTAAACAAATATGTGTGTTGTAATAGGAATTGAATGACAAGAAGAGGTTGGCCACAAGTGGTGCAAACTTTGCACGGGCATATACAGTTCAATTCGGCACCTGCAAGTTCCCGGAGAACTTCACCGGCTGCCAAGATCTGGCCAAGCAGAAGGTTTGATTTATAGTGCATAAACTGACTCTGATATTTGGATTTAATAGTTTTAAGAATGATCTTTGTGCAACCATTTTATTTATTTATTTGGTGGTGGTCTAATGCAGAAAGTGCCATTTTTATCTGAGGATTTGGCGTTGGAGTGCGAAGGAAAGGACAAGTTCAAGTGTGGTTCCAATGTGTTCTGGAAATGGTGAAGTGTGAAAGCTGCTTGCGTGTGTCAATGTGTCAATCAAATTCTCCCCAACATGTATTTAATTTCCATTAAGACTTGTACTCTATTTGTTCTGTCGTCTTTTCTCTGTTTCTAAGTTTTATTGCTTGATCCTTGTTCTACACCTAGTAATTCTTGGGAAATTATGGACAGAATGTGCCCAGAATTTTGATCTTAGTTAAAAATGATCACATCTGATATGTTACATGGCACGGATTTTCTTACATGCCCTAGGTTACACTAACACAGAAACTGTATAAGTTTTAGGTCTTATAGCCACAGATAAGGAGTAAAAACTAGAGAAAAAAAAAAAAAAGATTTATAACCATAGAGAGGACAGTAATGCTAATACCCATTCATCCTGTTTAGTGATTCCAGCCGCAAACTCCAGTATACTTGATACGTAATGACAATATAGTGTACAACTCATGGTATCATCCATTTCTTGCCTCAAACTTGAAAGATAGTTCAGCGGACAATATCAACATATTCATCAATGAAATAATATTACAATTTTCCGCATATGTTGCAGTACTCTTTTCACAAAAATTGTTGGTTAGGGACCTAGGGTTAAACATACTCCATTTCTATATCCTGAGATTGACTGTATGGTGAAAAAAAAAATGAACAAAAATTGTGAAATTACAAAACATAAATTGTTCAATAAGAAAACTGTGAGCAGAAACTATTTTCCCGGTGATCATGAAAAATATCACTCTAGTCAAGCCAGTCCAATTGCACTTGAATGATTGGTCTCCACAGGAGGTTTAGGCCGTCGTAAGGCCAACAATGCATTGATACTGCAATCTCATCAGCAAGAATACCAAGCTTCAGACTTTTACCCAACCATACCACGATTACCAATTCATATGAGTTGCAAAAACATGAATGTGGCTCACGAGCATGTCTAATATGTTCGAAGCAAACTTCGGGTTTTCAATTGTCAACTGCAATTCAAGTGAACGCTCAATATCTAGTCCAATTTATCCATCTGCATGTATCTAATCCGATCTGTCTGTCTATCTGTATGAATCTGTTCGCGGAACCTCAAGAGTACGAACACAAAGATGAGGAGCCATTATACTGCAACTGAGGACATGGAGTCGGGTTTACTCCATCAGTAAAACCAGAAACATATTTACAATTCCACCTTGCAGATGGTGCCAGGCCTAGAACACTAACATTTTTCATGCATACCATTTCAAAAGGTGCATCTTCAATACCCTCTAATACTGGGGCTCTTGTGGAATTCAAACTGACCACATCACTTATAAAAATACCGCGTATTTTTGGGAGAGCTTTGGAATCCCATCCATCATCAGGGTGGTCATTGGCACCCCTACTGAATCTTATGGGTATCTTAACTCTCTCCATTATAATGTTGCGTATGGTGATATTTGCTATATATCCTCCCCTCCCGTTATCTGTCTTTATTCGCACCCCAGCTGCGGAGTCTCTAACTTGCAAATCCTCCACAGTGACATTTGAAATCCCACCAGACATCTCGCTGCCAATTCCCACCCCAGAACAAGTTGGAGTTGTGCCCGAGACTCTCCTTATAATAATGTTTGAGCTTGGACGGGCCATGGTGATACCATATTGATCCCAACCACTCTTCACCGCAACAAGATCGTCCCCGCTTTCAATGTAGCAGTCTTCAATACACACTTGCGTGCTTGAATCTGTGAGTAAAATTATCAGGAGATTAAAATCATTACTCTTTTAAGCTTTGGATTTATTTTATCGAATATTCAGAAAATAAAACATGATAAGATAGCAACATAAAGAGAATCAAACCATAAAGAGAATTTAGTGGCCTACCTGGGTCTATGCCATCGGTATTTGGGGAATTGAGAGGAGCCAGGATTTTCACATCTTTGATCACAATATTACTGAAACAAATGGAGAGTTACCTGTTAGGTTTCCACCAGAAAGCTAAGGCACATGAAATTATCATGAAGATAAAGGGGGAAATCTTGATTGCTGGTCCATTGTTACAAGTGATATTTTATGCTTCAAATGTTTAAGATCTGTATGAAATTAGGACTTTGGAAACGTTATAACTTCATAGATGATTTGTCCCCCTCGAGATGTTGTTTTAACACCTATCGGAACACCTATCGGGGTTGGACTGTGAATAAATTCTAGTCAATTTAAGGTAGTGTAGAAGAATCTGTTTTATCTGCTATACTTCACTGATTTTCCTTTTCAAAATGCTAATGCGCTCAGGCAGTTGCAAAATGTACCCAAGGTGCTAAAATTCTGGACATAATAAAAAGATATACAAAGTGCTACTCATGTTTAAATTTTGAAGTCAGTAGTATAAAAAGAAAAGATACTTACTTCATTTTCTAATACCAAAATCAGTTGTTATTAAATCCAAGATGATTACGCTTTATGACATGGAAATTAATAATTCAATACTGGCTAGCAGCAATTGAGGATTCTAGTGTATTCAAACCTGCAATAAACAGGATGGATGGTCCAGAAAGGAGAATTAAGGAAGTTGAGGTTGGAGATGAGTATGTTATGTGAGGACATCATCTCAAGGAGGTGGCCTCTGGTGTGCTTCAATGTTCTGTTCCACCATAGATCCCACCACATCTTTCCCTGGCCATCAATGGTCCCATTCTGTCCTGAAATTAATAAAAAATGAACTGATCACAGACCACTCAACAATTTATTCAACTTCAAATATTTGGGAGGCTAAAATAGATGAGAATTCGGCATCCTAGCTTAATCCAAATTTGTCTGAAAGACTAACAAAAAGTGATAATAGTATACATTCTAGTGGTACATGGTAATTTCGTGCCCCCTACTTGATTTGTAAGACCATGGCATGTTTTCGATGCATTCCTAAAGTACCTAAGAGGCACAATGCATGAGTCGCAATACAAAACATTAGCTCCAAGTAACTCTCCTTTTTTGAGCTGTGCATTACTCGAAGTCACAACTCTAATTAGATCTTCATAGAATAGATTAATGTGATCCCTTAAACACTAAACTACGAATGTGAGCAATATACAAAGGCACATGAATGTGAAAGTAGTGCCAGAACTGGGAATCCACAAGACTGGTACAGTGAGTGTTTTTGAAAGCAATAGTTGATGTATAATTGAATAACTGTATGGGTAAGCATATGAATGAACCCTCTAGGGAACCTGACTGAAAAGGAAAACATAACTTATCCTCATTTGCAGCCATCATTTGTGATGGTTCAACAAGATTTTCTAAAAATAATAATCATAACTAAAGGAAATACTATGCTCCCTTTAGGTGGAAGAAAAAGATGACCACAAACTTTGAAATTAAATTCTTGATACTCTAAGGATCAAGATGGTTAAAGGCTAGCTTACCCATTTAACAAAAAAAAAAAAGCAAAAGAAAAAGAAAAAAGAAGATGGTTAAAGGCTGCTTGCTTGTACATGGAACCAGTTCAATGATGTGTATTAAAGGCAAAACATAAGAAGTTAAAGGCTGCTTGCTTGTACATGGAACCAGTTCAATGATGTGTATTAAAGGCAAAACATAAGAATTCAAATTGTGACTTTGATCAATTATTGTAGGCATTTTTAGCTTCATCAATGTTGACAGAGCAAACTAGATTAATCAGCCTAACTTTGTACGCAAGATTCTTCATTTATATACATAAGATTATCCATCCCCTCACAATAAATAGACAAACAAATATTAACAACCAACACTTATGTAGTGCTTATTAATATAACCTTACAAATAAGCAAGGGGAGCATCAATTTGTGACAGGTTCTGCAATACAACGCAACACACACACAGAAATGCATTACAACGCAAGACAAGGAAATTGAAAAAACCAAAGGTGAGGAAAAATTAGACAGTGAATCATCAGTGTACTACATGTCTCATAAAGGAACACTTAGAGCTGTGATAAAAAAATTTAGTCCATTTTCCACAGCCTCGACGTTAGGTCTTGAGACAGTCAAAGAAAATTAGATGATTATTAAAAACTCAAAAGGGGATGCAATTTCATCTTTCATTACATGACGAAGTATTAATACCTGTAATGACAACATTAGTGAGACCATCTCCATGGATGAGGCTTATATGCCTCCCCCCCAACCTTTCTCTCCCTCTTCCATAAGAAGGTAACGGCTCTATAATTGGCCATTCTTCTGGGTCCTATAATTTGAAGTAAACAAAAAAAAATTTTAAAAATTAGAATTTTGAGTTAAAGTATATGGATTTAGTTCAATAAATCACTGAAAATGAGTAGTTGTGAACCAGAGTCACCCATCACCAAGATAAAAATTGAAATGGGTTCATTCAGTATAGTCCCCAAAATGCCTTTTCCCGTAAAACAAATTCACACACTCTCTCTCTTCTTCATTTACTTCCAAGTTTGAATATTAATTGACCTTTTCCAATGCACAGTCCAACAGAAAGGCTAATTCCAAATAATCCAGAGTTTGTAAGTAAATTGTCTTTTCTTTCTAGAAGAACTTTTGTTGCTGATATACAATTCAAATAAATGAAATGTCTCAAATTTCTCCCAACTAGTTTTGCTGATAACATACTTTTTTGACTTTTAATTAGCACACAGTTACTCAAGTGAGAATATGTATGTGTGTGTGAGAGAGAGAGAGCTCAAATGCTACCAAACCATTTGTCTCTTCTATATAGACTATTAAAACCCATTTACCTATCAAATTGTTAATACAAATTCAACCCAATAAATAGTTGAAATCTTTCAAAAATGTTAGTTAAATCATATATTCTAAATGAATTAAGCCTATAGAGTCAAAAAGTATACGCCCGCAGTACATAATACATACACACAACTATATTATATATATATATATATATGAGATTACCTGAGAACCCAATATAACAGCACCTTCTTCTAGAAAGAGCGTAAAATTACTGGTGAGATTGAAGCTACCGGTGACCCACCTTCCCCTCGGAACATTGAGCTGGGCCCCACCTCTCTCCATGAACTTCTCCAAGTGCCGTATCGCCCGCTGAAACGCCGCCGTATTCGAAGTGTTCCCATCACCGACGCCCCCAAAATCCCTTATCGACATCACCACCTTCCTCGGCGGCGCGTGACGGAAAAACCAGACACAGCTCGGCCACCCGACCCTATCGGAAAGCCCGGTATTATCCTGAACCAACTCGGGCCGTATCGGAAATACCCTTTTTGTGGTGATTTGAAGGCAAGAAACAGCTATAACCGTGAATATCAATAACAAGAACGCCCATGTTGGCCTGGTATACCCACCCATCATCGCACCAAACATTTGTTTTTCACCATCCATCATATTACGTTCATACATGAAATTTATGTATACACAAATATATATATATATGCGTTTATATGTATATGTATATGTATATGAGGAAGAACAGGGGAGGTGTTGTTTATAGGATAGAACAACAGTGCGTATTACGCATAGTTTTGGTGGGTTCTAGGAATGATCGTTTTCTTGGCTGGAGGCCATGAAACTTGTAATGAGGACGTGGGGAGGGAGTGTGCGTATTGCGCACGGAGGCGTATATTAGCAGGCCGGTGAGGTCTTGGTTAATCCGTGTGAAAGTTTTGGATCAAATACAGTGTGATAGCCATAATTTAACGAAGAAAGTATAAACGAATGAGCATGTGCCACGCCAGCGGATGTTGCGTGGCGGATGACCATTGGTTGATTAGATGTAGAGGCATATATAGTAGGCTCTGCACTGAATTGAAACTGGTGTGTGGAGAGTGGACAATTTGGAGCTTTTACTGGAAAGTAATGTGAAGAAGCCGACTTTCACGGGAGTCTAAGCGTGAATTATATGTGTGTATATATATATAAACAGTCGGTTTGTGGCAGGATCACACGTGGGAGATTCTGGTAGTCGTGGGGCCCATAGAAGACCAGATTACTCTTGATGGTTGATGATGATCACCACTCTGAATTATGATGATATGTTAATCTGGTTGGCCACGCCATTCACGAGTATAAGGGCGTCCATCCGTTGAATTATACGGACGTGATTTGAATTATGAAATGAAATTTTTATTTTTTGGGATTGGAAAAAAAATTGAAAATGAAATTAAAATTGATAAAATTTCAATATAATATAGTGCTTTGATTCTATGGATTTTTTTGAATGAAATATATATTTTTTTCAATTCTAATTCCATAAATTTGACTTTTTTTTAAAAAAAAATTTAATTCTAATTTTACGGCTTCGATTTGAATTCTAAATTTTAAATTCAAAATTTTTGTTTGATCGGATGAAATTGAAGGGAGAAAATATTAGTTCAATTTTTAAGACTATAATTTTTGTATTTTGCAATTCTATTTTAGCACCTTGAATTCCATTTTATTTCAAAAGCACAAATGATATATATATATATATATATGTGTGTGTGTGTGTGTGTATTATAACTTAATTAAATCTATTTTACTTTTTGAAATTCAAATTCAGATTCAAAAAGAATTTGATTCGAGAGAGTAAAGACAAAGCCATTTTGCAAATTGGATCACACTATTCAAAGTAGGATTTCCTATGGGCGGGCACCGTAAGTGCTCCAGTCAATGAAGTGAAGGGTTGTTGATTCCACTGATAAAAAAGTAGCGAGTTCTTCACACTCGTCACCCACTGCACAAACTCTATACACATCTATGCATCCAGGACACCTGGTCCGGCCCGGCCCCGCCTAAGTTAAATTTTATTTGTTTTTATGTGTGTGTGTGAAAATTTCTATATGATACCCCCTAAATCTTTTAATTCTATAATAGAATTATCTCTTAACCTCCTTTTTTTTTTTTTTTTTTTTTTTTTATAATTTCTTTAAAATAAAAGTTAAAATTTCCTTCTTCAATTAGACTTTTTTTTTTTTTTTTTCCTTTCTAAGTTGTTTCATTTTTCATACTATAATTTTATGAAGTTAATGGGTGTAATTTCATGCATTGTTTTCACAATACAAATATGTACAATTGTATTTAATATAAAACTGAATAATATTTTAATTTTTATATCGGTCAACTATTTATTCTTCTTATACTTCTCACTGATTATCATATTATTTTGCAATAAATTTTTTTTCTTTTTTGTCTCTTGATTTAAACCATCTATATGTCATATAGTAATTTTGTTCTTTTTACACTGCAACCTTCTCTCCCTCCCAAAATAAATAATCCGTATTTGAGTTTTTTTCTTCCAAAAACTCATTCTGCGACTTGAGGCAAAACAAAAGGTTGTTTGCGCCAAAACGGCATAGTTTTGCCAAAAAGAAATTCTGCGATCAAACTTGGGCTCGCGCTTTTGCTCAAGTCAATCTGCTAATCCTTGTAGGCTCGTGTTATTTCCCTTAGTCTGCTACACAGCATTTGGGCCTCCAAATGGCCAAAAATGAGTTTTGGCTAGGTTCGTGCAAGTGCTCTTAATAGAGTCTATTTTTATTATCTAATTATAAAATTTAAATTACTTTTTGTTTTTTCACAAATTTAAATTACTTTGCATATCCTTTTGCAAACCTAACCTAAGACATTTTTCATTAAAATCTACTAACTATTTATTCTTCTTATGGAGGAAATGAATACTTTTTTGTCACGCATATATTTCGAATTGTTCTGAATATAAAATGCTATGGATATGGACGGAATACATTTCGAACACTTTGATGGGATAGTTTTGCATTTTTTTCTTTTTCAAGCAATGAAGTTACAATGTAATATCAAAACATTTAATTAATGAGTTAACTTATATAAAGATATAAAAACCAAACCCAATATGTGTCCTGCTCTAACTTATAAATTAGTGATTACCATCACAATAATATTATCTAATAAGATTTTTTATTTTTATTTTTTATATTTTATATATGATATATATTATATTCTTATTTGTTGACATATTCCTACCATATATATATTGAGATTTATTGTATTCATCATATTCGTGCTTAATATTTATTTTTCCCAAAGTACACATTATTGTTTTAGAAATTTTTTTTTTTTTTTTTTTTTTGTTTTTGCTTTTGTTTTTGTTTTTGTTTTTGTTTTTTTTTTTTTCCATTTATCTGCACTCTGAGTTGGCGCGAGTTGACCCGGACTCCTGTGCAGTTCCATTTCTGTTCTTTCTCGACCGTTGCCTTCATTATCTCGGAGGTTGCTTCTATTCTCAAAAGCCAGACAGACCTCTGCTCAGGTATCCATCTCTCTCTATGTGTGTGCTTTCACATTGTGTGTGTATTATGTATAACTATATATTGACGTAATTTTGACCGGATCTTCCGTTGGTATGCTTTTGGTTTGATAGTGTAGATTGATGGATTCGTCATCGAATCAAGCAGAATTTGATTACTTATTCAAGCTTTTGATGATCGGAGACTCTGGTGTCGGCAAAAGCAGCCTCCTCCTCAGTTTTACTTCTGATACATTCGAGGATCTTTCTCCCACTATAGGTACAAAAATAGGAAAATTGGCATTAAATAAACACACATACACGGGAACCTAGAGTTTTATGTTAGAAATAAATGGTAATTCTCTCGATGCCTTTTGAATGAATTTGAAAAATATGCTTTTGAATCTCTTAACAAGGTCATCCTTAATCAAATAATTGTTTTACGATCTTAAGAACAAATCACGACAGGAAAATACACCTACCACAAATAAAGAATACAAAGATTTAGCGTTGTTGAACATAAGTTGTGTCTATATCCACAATGAAGATAAGGCGAAAATTTTCACTATGTGAAAATCAGGAGAGTATTAACTCTGAATCTCTTTTGTCTCTCATGTCCCACTACAAACCCTAAACATCCTTATATACGGGGCTACCGTAGAAAACCACAACACAACATCACAGTTTTTATTTTGTTTTATGAGATGAATATTGGAAATCTTATATTTTCATTTAATTTTGTTCTCAACTTGTATGAAATGAACAATGTTCAGATTGTTATATGCATAATAGCCACTGTTGTTACAATCCATTTATGGCAGTTTAATTCTGCAGCATCCTTATTTGCATCTCTCTCTTTTTTTTTTTTTTTGCATATAGGTGTTGATTTCAAGGTGAAATATGTTATTATAGGGGGTAAAAAGTTAAAACTTGCAATCTGGGATACAGGTAATATTTCATACGTTGCTTAGGCGCATGTTTCTATTCTTTTTTCAGAAAAGTATTGTCCTTTGTAAGTTTGTATTGTTTCTTGCTATCTCAAACCAACCTTTTGTGGTACATTTCTTCAATTGTGCCCCTAAGCAAAGTTTTGATTGTGAAACTTATTTGGTAAATCAAAATGGGGGGTCAGATTTAACGGCCTTATCAATTTTACCTTATATTCTGGGAAGTTTCTTTTTTTTTATTAAATAAATTATTTTCTTATGTGAAAAAGTAAACACTGTCAAATTGGGATAAAAAAGCATATGTATTTGTTGACTTTTTGAATCATTTTATTTTTAATCAACTTCTAAGCAATCTTGTAGTTTATCAAATTCCAATTTTGGCCTTAATAATCAGAAGTTATACCGTATGACGCAACTTTATCAGTCCGTATATTGTATTTTCATTGCTAATAAGAAAGCTATTTGATCTTAAATGCAAATATAATTGTGTTCATGTTTTAAGATTTGTTTGGTTTACTAGTCTCAGGAAAGATGGCTTTGTTCATCTATCGGAATGAAGGAGAAGCAAGAAAGGTTTCATTGTTTCCAATGACATTACTGATGCTGAATGTTCTATCTTGCAGCTGGTCAGGAAAGATTCAGAACATTGACTAGTTCGTACTACAGAGGAGCTCAAGGGATCATTATGGGTGATTTCTGTTCATTAATTTATTTTTGTTTTTTTCGACCACTGTTGTTTGATATTCTCTTTAAAGAAAAATTGCAAATTATGGCCTATTATAGAGTTGTGGGGAGGATAAATTTTTTAGGAAACTTTTTCTTTTTTACCCGGACTAAATCTAGAACAAGAGTATTCATCATGGTTAGTGAGACATATGTGAAAAAACAGACCTTTCTATTGTTGTTACAACAATTACAACAATCAAAGCCTTTTAAAAGAAGAAGAATATTCTAAAATAATTTTGGTTGAAACGAGATATATGTTAAAAACCAGAATTTTCTTACCCAAAAAATAAATAAATAAAAAATGTTGGATAGCTAAAAATGCACTGGCTACGTTGATGTGCTGATTTTGCTCGACATTATAAGCACTCCACATTTTTTTTTTTTTTTTAATGAAGATAAAACTTTTCCCCCCTCATGGTAGACATTTATGAACATTCAGTAAATAACCTAATTTATTGACGTTCATTCATTTTATTCACTAGAGATAATTATTGCTTAGAAACGTGGCATCAGAAAGCTCATGAGTTGATCCACACATCCTTAACTGGAATCTGCTGATTATAACGTAGAGATGTGGAGCAACATAATGAGTATTGAGTGTCGATTACTTGTATCTTTGTTGTTGGAGACTTCATTTTATAGTCAAGTGTTGAGTTCAAAATTTTCTTAAACTTCCTTTCTTTTCTATTTAGTATTCCATGATCCTTCACTTTGACCTTTGTCCGCTAGTATTTGATATCTCACAGACCAATCTTTTGTTGGCTTCTTGAAATAGCCCTTTCTACGTTGGTGAATTTCCTTCCATGATTCCTTAAGCCACTGATTTGCATGCTTAAATTCTTGAAATAACTATCTCTGCATTGGTGAATTGCCTTCATGAATTTTTAAGCCAATGATTTGCATTTTTTATTTTTTTGTTCCTCTGTGCAATACATAATTTGCAACAGAGCAACACCATATGTGTGTTAAGAACTGTTGAGCTGACATGTGGACATCTTCAAAAGTCTAGGATCAAGAAAATAATTGGTTTTTGAAAAGATTTTTGCATGCCAACCAATCAAGTTCAAAGATATGGTATGGGATACATGATTCTTTTGTTATGTTTTATTCTTATTCCTGCTAATTATATGCCAGGATTGACTGGTTGTTTTCTCCATCTTACTAAAAACTTGATTTTGGTGGTTGTAATTGTAACAGTTTATGATGTAACACGGCGAGAAACATTTACAAATCTCTCTGATGTCTGGGCCAAGGAGATTGGCCTCTACTCAACTAATCAAGATTGCATCAAGATGCTTGTCGGAAACAAAGTCGATAAGGTATTTTAAGGAGATTATATATTTAAGTGTTTTTTCTTCTCAACCTGGTAATTGGCCAGGATTTTCAAAACTGAATTTTCCTTGAGAGGATATTTTTTTCATGCTTTAATGATTAAAGAAAATCAGAAGTCCTGAGTAATGGATAGGAGTGGCTACTATAGATATCATGCTCTCTCTCTCCCTCTCTCTCATGCGCAAAGAAACAGGCATAAATGTTTGTATCCTACATTTCTGAATCTATTGGAGAAATGGAGTGGTTGGTTGGGGTTTGGGGGGTGGGGCTGGGGGTTATGGTGGGGCAGAGTAGATTACTGTGGGGCAAATGACCCTCTGAAAATTTGAGCATTTCTTTTTTTTCTTGTGTTTCACCAATTGCTCGATGATAAATAGTATCACCGCTAAATGATGGGTCTAGTTCAGTAGATTTACAAGATGAAAAATCACTCCAATCAGAATAAATTTAACTATTCAATTATGTTATGCTAAATCTCTAAAATTCACAAAGAGTTGACACTGTTTATAAAATTTGATTGAACTTAAATGGTTGGAATTGTGTAGGAAAAATAATCTTTTTTTTTTTTTTTTTTTTTTTCTTTCTTTATGTGATGTTGTGGCTTGAATATGGTGCCGGGGCGAGTTGTGACCCGTTTACGACCCGTTGGATGAGCTTTTTGACCCGATTTTGCTTTGTGGGTCATGAACCCTAATTAGTACTCTATTATAGCCTGATATATAAGGGGGATTAGGGTTTGGAGTGAATTATTGAGAGACACTGAAAATTGTACAGAAAGAGAGTGGGGATGAAACTTGTAATCTCTGATTTTACACATAGTGAAGACTTTCGCCGGATATCCACCATAGACGTAGGTTTTGCCGAACCACGTATAAATCTTTGTGTTCTTGTGTGTAGTGTGTTTACTTTTCTTTTGTGTTTCGTGATTGTTGCTTGGGTTCGCTGCGTTTGTTGTAACACTTTCTTTCTTTCTTTTGTGTATAAATATGACCAGTAAATTGTGCCCAAAATATTATGTGCGTTTACAGTTTGCAATCTTGAGTAGAGGAGGTAACGGGAGCCCAGATGATAACAAGGGTAGGTCAGTTTAGAAGGAGGAAAATTTCCTATGTACATTTTAACAGATGATCCAAGTAGGAGCATCTCATGCAATTAAATGGTTCGTTCTAAGATATTTACAAGGTGAAAAATAGCTGCTGTGATATGATTTTGATTGCCATCTAAATCGATTAATTTCTTCAAAAACAGTAGGGTTTTTAAATCACAAAAACGAAAAAATAGGGTGAGAGAATTCAAATTAGACATTCTAGGATCAAACACTCATGAAGAATGTCTTAATCCCTATTTGTTGATGGAATCGTCCATTGAGCATGCATATTCAAACTTCTCAAAGAAGATTGTGGGGTCAGTTCTCTTTTAAAAAGAGTTTACTGATTTTTTACAAAACAGACATGGTTTAGGAGTTCGATGAAAGGGAGATTGATACACACTCTTAGTGCTTATTATATGAAGCTGTCTCTTTAAATGGCAAGTAGCACCTTGGTGTGCATTTGTGGGACTCTTGTGCTTTTCACACATGTAGTGACATTAATATAACTGTATTGAAGAGTGTTTCTTGAGGTGGTTGGGTAGCATATTGGTCTCGTATCTGTGTTGAACACCAACTACTAGATGGTTTTCAGACATTTTACTATTATTATATATTATTCCGTTTGTGGCTTTCGTGCATGTCTGAATCATTTCTTTTGTCTAGGAAAATGAAAGAGTAGTAACAAGGAAGGAGGGGATAAACTTTGCTAGGGAATGTGGATGTCTCTTTATTGAGTGCAGTGCAAAAACTCGAGTCAACGTACAGCAATGCTTTGAAGAGCTAGTTTTAAAGGTACAGAAAATGATAGCTTTCTTACTGTAATTTTCTTTTCTGAAAGGATGGTGTATGTGCATCTGCATGAGTTTCCTTGAAATTACTTTATTTTCAACATTTAGAAAAAACTGTTTACATGTTTGATGTGGCACTTGTTACAAACCACCTGCTTCCTTGGTGTCCATTCCATGGATTTAAGAATTGGTTGCGACTATTATGCAAAGCTGTACATAATGGTCTCAGAGGGACCTGATACAATTTGGGCTGCCATTGTGGTGGGTGGCCATTTGACATGCTTAGTGACCATTATGGTCCCTTAATCCCCTGGTTACGGGTGGCAATAGGCCACAAGAGCCTCCTGTTAGCATATAAATTTGAAAAGTCTATTTTTAAACCAATTTCAATGTTTTTAATAAAAAAAATCATTATTAGATCTTATGTGAGCTCTTGCGGAACAAAAAATTGTAAGAAAGAGATTGAGATTTGAACTGATCCAAAATAGGAGATTTGAATTGATCCATAATAGGAGATTGTGAGCTCAACCTTTAAATGTTATTACTTGGTTTGCTTATTTCAAAGGATTAATTATCTATTTTTAAATTCTGTATTTTTTATTTTTCAAAGAAAAGAAAATTTATCTCTATTGCAATGATAATGACAATAAATTACTAAAACATTAAAGGAAAATATACTATTTTCTATTGACAGCAACTGGAAAAACAACGTAAGAATTATTTCTTATACTAAATCATCTTTCTAGATTTTATAAAATTCACTAAAAATCATATAATATTTTTGATTTATGGATTGTTATACATGTGTGTTACTGCTATTGGCCAAATTAAAGAATATCGGATCTGAAACCCATGTTCTATTATGTAACATTTGTTACACTCATGTCTGTGACCACTATTCAAAACATGGATCCATGCTTACATTTCAAAGGGTTGATTTAGTATTTTTATGTCCACATTTGAAATGTTGTCTTAGATTTTGTTCAATTGAAAATATTAGTTGTGTAAAATGTCGGAGGAAATTCATTGACAAGATTTATTGGAACGTCAAAATGCGAAGGGCCTGTCAAGTACCATTTTGAGAACTGATTCTGTCTTGGAAACAGAAAAATGTGTAGGACAGAAACACCCATTTGGTATGGTTCTTCTAAAATTATGTTGAAAAAATTCTTGAAAGTGTACCTTTTTCAATAAAATATATAAAATAGTTTTCCACATTTTTCCAGACTATGATCAAGTGAAACTGAAAATGATCTGATGACAGGAAGTTTTTATGACTTTCATGGCATTCATTTTTGCAATTGAAAGAGGGATGAGACTTTCTTAAAACAATAATGACTGGATGGACTCTTAATATAATTAACATCCATTAACATCCACCAAGTCAGAGGCTTGAATTTATGACTTTCATTTTGCAATTGGAAGCTTTGAATCCAGTGTTACTCTTTTTTCTCAGTTATCATCTTTAGGATTGAATGATTGATGTTATGAATGGTCGGTCATGATTGTATGCAGATTTTGGATACGCCCGCCCTCTTAGCTGATGGCTCCAAAGGTGTGAAAAAGAACATCTTCGAAGAAAATCCATCGCAATCCGATACATCAACTAGCAGTTGCTGCTGATTCTGTTCGTTACTCTCAAATCATTCATATTTCAAGAAGGTTTCTAACTTCTGTGCCAAGACCTGAATATTACTAATGTAGACATTCTTTCAGCTTATTTACTCTGCAACTTGTACATCTTATCAATTTATTTAATGAGACTGGCTAAGATCCTAAATGATTTTGCTACATTATCAAAAAATAGTTGTATCTGAAATGCTTGGTATTTTCATGTGCCAGCTTGCTGAAAGGGCATGCATCTTTTGTTTGGGTCGTTGAAACTTACCTTGTTTACCACATTAGGTAACTATGGCGGACTTGGATCTATGCACTAAAACAATGTTGTTTTGGTACATAACACGGGTTGTGTGAATTCTCAACATAGGCTCGCGTCAAGCTCCATACTTAAGCACCAAAATGACAATGACGTGTTCCCGCTACAAAGAAGAGAATTCACTATAATTGGATAGATGTTCCGGTAAAACTTTTTACAAACCAAAAGACTAGAAAAAATATCCATAGAAAAACTAAGGCAAAACATCTAATTAATTACGAAGATATTTCAGAATTAAATTTGATTAACGAATAAATACATTTGTGACCCTTGAAGCAATAAATTTTTTACAAAATGCCATGACAATAACTATTTTTTTTTTGTTTGATGAAATTTCTTGTGAAGAATATTGGTATTTTACTAGTAATATGGTTTTGACTTTTTAAAACTTCCCAAATATTAGACATTATTTGAACAAACAAAACTCTTCTTTCTCAATTTTCGCTCCCAGTTTGCCTGAACTTCTATATATAAACATATATATTTTAAATATTTTTAAAATTTATAAATTCTAATTTCAAAATATCCAATTTCGGATAAATAATTTGGCCTATGAACATTTGTAAGATTATTGATCTGATCCTCAAGTCTAAATCCGAATGTTGTCAATTTTTTTTTGAATCTTCAACAAAATTAAAACCAAGTTGGGGGACATCTGAGCATCTACATTATACTCAAAGTTGAATAAATAAAAAAATTATTTAATTTCATTCATTGATAAAAATAATTTGACCGGTTGCCTCACTTTTCTTAACCATTTTACTGCTAATTTACTACAAAACCTCGTAAAAACATATACTAATATATTATTGACTCGAAACGAGTTCGAATCAGTAGTGTCCGACACAAATGAGTCAAAAGTTAGTTGCAACTTGCCACCAAAATACAGATTGAAAGAGTAATAAAAACTCTAGAGGACCAAAGTTGTGCATTTGCCACCTAGAAAAATGGGTGCATATGCAGCACCCATTTCCCATCTTCTCCTCCCCTCATCGCCAAACCCTAACAAAAACCCTAATTCAAAACCCCCAAAATCAAACCCTAAAAGAACACCAATGAAGCCCATTACCTCTAAAGCCAGTTTCACAATACAGAGGAGGCATTTTTTGCTACTTTCTCTACCCATTTCTATTTCAACCCAGTACAGTTCTTGGTTTTATGCCCTAGCGAGTGTCGAGCCAGTGAGCTCTGCCGAAGAAGATGCAAGTGCTACAGTCTCCCGGAGAGTTGCCGAGGCCATAGAGTTGCTGGAGAGAGGGAGGGAGTTGCAGGCTCAGGGTGACTTTAATCAAGCTCTTGAATACTTCACTCAGGTACCCAAATTTGGGTTTTGTTTCGTTTCCAAGAAAATTGTGGAAAAGAAAAGTTTATCCACACAAGAAGGCCTAGGCCGAGTGTTTACGGGTCTTAAAATAACCCTGTTCTCTGTTTTCACACCATGCACAAAATATCCGGTCTTATCACTATTTGAAGTTTCAATCAGTAAGGGAAATATATAATTCACCATTGGGGTTCTGCAAAAAATATTAAATCAATATTATGGATAGCATGCTCATGTCTTTAAGTTTCAGTTTTATATTTGGGATTACATAATAACAGGAAATTCCTTACTGCATGAATTAGAAGTTTGTGAGGACTAAATCTAGTTCATACTTAAATTACTATTATCACTAGTACTCTTATTCTCTTAATATGATGATAACAATCTTGTGGTTTTGAAAACAAAGACTCTCAAGTTTGTATAGCTACTTGTTGATGGTAGTTCGTGAGTAGGATAAGGAGATCGTTCCACGTAAGCCAAGAGATCTGAGATCAGTATCCAAGTGGAGATCCAAGCAACACAAGGGATTCTCTAGGTATAGAGATTAAGAAAGGGAAGGCCGACCTCGGTACCATGCAAACTCGAGCTTATCAGAGGATAATTGTTAATGCGATGGTTGATGCCCTTTAAGGCTGATTAACACCCCTATTTATAGCGTTTACCTCCTCGGTCAATGCCTTTTAGTCCTTTAGCTGAGTCCGCTCTTATCCAAAGGTTCGATGGCCTCTTCTTCTGACGGATGAGACATTGATGGATGGGTCGCGGCACTTTGCCCCCCGGTCAAAGGAGGTAACGGCGCTCCCTAATTAATGAGGGTCTTATCAAATGTCTTTCGTAATTAATGCGTTTCTTATCCTTCATTGCTCGAGCTTAGGTACCGGGTATCCTTTCCCCCTTGTGCTGGCCTCGGACTGAGGCGACCCCTTAGATCTTAGCCACCTATCCACATGTCCTCAAATTCCTGTGCTTCAGTGGGGATAGGCCCCCTTTCGAGGTCCTGCCTTCATGACCTCGCGGGTTCCCATCCCAGTTCTATCCTGAGGTCTTCTTTGCCAAGAAGGGAAATGTGTAAACAGGTAAGTCGAGGTTGCTCTTTCAGAGAGTACCCTCGAGCGAGCCAGGGGGGGAGGAGCCCATCCGACTGGAGCGGGGCGCGTCCACAGTAGAGGAAGGGCAACGACCCCTTCCTCGGCCAGTGAGTTCCATTATTGGATAGGTAGCTCGAGAATACATAATCCACCGTGAGCACGCCAGGTCAGCACTGGCCAGTTGTGCCTATGTTGCAGAGGTGGCGCCACTTAGTCAGCTACCGTGGCGCGATCATCAACATTTTGCCCCCCCTGCTCGAGGTCGTCGAGAGAGGGGCTCGAGCAAACCACTAATTTAATTTTAATTATTGCTCCTACTGAAGGGTCACCGAAGGGTCATGTCTTTTAAGTACTAAACAGTCATATCACTTCAGGGGTCATGTCGCTTTGGTTTCTCGATCCACGTGTCGCCCTTTTATTGGTGTGTCAGGTTAAGACGTTTCGGGTCTCGAGTCACGTCCTTTCGTCAGCCGGAGGCGCGACGCTTGGGATGCCGAGCCCCCATATTTAAGTCATTCCAAAACACGCATTTTTTTTAAAGGCACCAAAATCATTCGTCCACTTATCCTTGCTCGCTCCTCGCAAAAACTTCTTGTTCAAAACAAGGCAATGGCGATTCGCGATGATGTTCCCAACGTCCCTCCTTTGAATGAATGGCGAGTTGCCCCATACTTTGGTTCGAGTGACACCTTCTGGGTTAACAGCGATGTATTAAGCGAGGTAAATGAGGCTCCGGCAAGCACACTCTGGGAGAGCCTTACGCGCTCACCGGGGCGCCCATTCAGCCCAACTCGATTTTACGATTTAGAGTAGAGCGCGGTGACTTCCTTTACTCCAACATTGCCTTTACGAGTCAGACCGGTCATGGACGAGGGTGGGAGTTGTGGACAGACGCGATTCTATCTGATGGTAAGTTCTCGGGGATTTTGCAGGCTTCGAGAATTAGAGACGCTATCCGAAACACTCGGGAGCTAACCATACCTCGGGATGTCCCCGATCTCGCCCTCCTGTTATCTCGGTGGAGCCGAGATACCCATACCTTTATCACCTCTTGGGGAGAATTCACCCTTACTTTGGAGGATGTAGTGCAGCTCATGTGTTTGAACGTATTTGGTGAGCATGACCCTAGCTCTTGGACCATTATTGAAGACGAGGTCAAACTTGCCTCCAAGCTTTGCAAAGGTGTTACCTCGGCAGGTAAGATAGCCTCGCGCTATCAAGATACTGGACTTCTTGAGGAGTTCCCGGAGACGGGCAAGAAGTGCACGTTTGTATCACTTTTGCGTTATTATTTCCGAGACTTTCCCCCCCAGGGTCAAGAAGAGGAGGAGTCCTTCAGTGGCCCGAAGTGCAAGGACTCAGCTCGCCTTGCTGCATATATCTTGTCGTGGCTATCCAGATTTGTTTTTCCGGGGCCCCCTGATGACGGGCCTTGTCCTGACCTCATTCCTTTGGCCATCAGGCTATCTTATGGCAACAACCTACCTTTGGCTGCTCTGTTCTTGGGTACTCTCTGCCATGAGCTCGACTTGGCGCATGCCCGCATGGAGCGCTCCGTGGGTCGCATGACCGTGGTTTCTCCTGTTAATGCAATTTTTCTTCAGATGTTCTTGTACGAACATTTCCCGAAGTATGGTCCTCGTCCAAACACATTGGCCCGTGACGGCGGCTTGAAGCGATCTTTCCAGTGGCATAAACTTACCACGAAAAAGAAATTGTCAGAGTTCATTGACAGGGAGAGTTGCTTTGTAGCTCGCCCATACACCCATGGACCTCGCATCGAGTGTTGTGCGTCGAAGGACGGCATGGTGATTTCGAGCAAGTCTTTGAAGCGCACTCCAGCCCTGACCATCATTGCCATGACCTTGCCTGGCTATCTTCCCGCGCTTCTTCCCCCTCACTCGGGCGTAGGTAAGGTTTACAACCCTCATAGGGTGGCTCGACAATTTGGGTTCAATCAAGGACTTCCGAGGGATTATGGCTATGGGGCGCGACAGGATCACAGCACCTATGCTCTAGGCTTTTTGCGCTTCCTCGATTCTGAAGAGGCAGAACTCCTTGGGGATCGCCAAATTCTTCACGTGCCCTCTACTCTTAGGGTTGGGAGATGGGCTGAAAAGACAAAGGCCTATTGGAATGAGATAATTCTTTCTTTTAAGAAGTTCGTAAGTAGCACTCCTGTCCCTGTCCCTGCTCGAGCCCTGCTGAAAGGTAACGCCTCGTTCCACACCTTTAAAAATACATCTGTATCCGCGAGGGGTAAACCTTGCAGCACAACGGGTTTACTTCCTCTACTCTTGCCAACTGCAACTGCACCCGTGATAGCCCTCCATGCTACTAAGGCGCGCCGGGACAAACGCAAGGCAGATCAAGATGTTAGCACCTTCATACCTGCAACCGTGTCTTCGAAACGAGCTAAGGTAAAAGACGAATTCTACCTCTGCTTTCTTACCTAACTCCATACTGACCAGTTTATTCTTCATCTCCCTTTTTTATAGGATGTTTCAAAGACTCCCACCGTTGCAAAGGATCCTGTTTCTTTCGAGATCCCTCATTCGCCCACCCGAGCTGGGGTTCCTTTGAGAACAAGGTCTCGAGCTACCCATCCAAAAAGAACTGCAACGTCTGCGCCTACTAGCGGTGTTCTTCGCGCTCCTGAGGCGGATGCCGGCCTGGCCGTTCCCTCTGACCCTCTTCATACTTTGGCAAGCGTTCTGGAGGACCCTGAGCGCGCGGAAAGGGAAATACTATCTTCTGACTTGAACCCTCTTCCTCTGCAGCATGGGGTGGGCAAAGAGTTGATCCCCCTAGCCCGCGGCTTGGGTAGGTTCGACGAGGAGACCGGGGAGGTTAATACCTCGGCGGATCCTGCTATGGGAATTTTTAACATCGAGTGAAGCCCAAGTCGTTCGCCATCCCATGGAGGAGGTACAATCTTTCTCTTTCCCCTCCCCCCCCCCTTTTTTTTTTTTTTAACAATTGGTTATCCATCCCTTAGGTGCCGAGGTAGCTACATCTGGCGCAGCTAAAGCGGCAGCTGATTCAGGGGGTCGTTTCGCTGGTCGCGGGGGTGAGGACAGCGACACCAGTTCGCAAGTCGAGGTTGTTCATGTGCTACCTCGAGAGCCTATTGCCGAGTTGCAACAGATGGTAGATTCAGCCATCAGATCCCTTCCTGAGGATGATGGTTTAGATGAAATGGAGAGCTCGGATGCCAGTGGTAATTCGTCCCGTGATGGTTCAGAGTCGAACAATTCGAGGCATGAAATCAACCAAATTGAGGGTAACAGATCGATTCGGCCGGCCTCCAATGAGGATACAACCGAGGGAGTTGACTTACAAACAGAAGGTCAGATCGTGAATCCCTCAAAATCAGGTCAGGAAACGGGCGACCCTTTACCCGTGGTATGGGGTGGGATCACCGTTTCCGCCGCCGAGGCTAAAATTTTGGACGAGGTCCAAGCAAAATACCCCCAGACCTTTGGGGATCTTGAAGGGATGTTGCCTTTGTTCCTGGACTTTGCTTATAAAACCATATGCGAGTTGGTAATCGGCCTTCGAGAAGCCCGAGATCGTACCTTGGCCAAGAAAGATCTTGATTCCCTCGACCGTCTCCTTACTAATTTGGGCCGAGCACAGATCGACGTAGGCTGGGCCCGCGACATCCTTTTGCGGATTAAGGCCTTGGGGGAACGTGAGAGAATGGTAGAAGAAATAAAAGAACTTCGCGATCAGGTCATTGAAGAGGAAGGAGTGCTGTATAATGAAAAGATCCACTTGGCCGAGTTGCAAGAGCAGGTGGACTCGAGAGAACAACACATTGCTTCTTTAAAGGATGAGATCGAGCGCAGGTCATCTCAACTCGGTCTTGCTGTCTTAGTTTTAGGTGATTTGCCCTGATATT